ATCCCCTTATGGAAGGGTCGCGGGGAGGAGACGAGCCAGTCAGGGTACAGTGTAGCAATGATGAAACATACAACTTTCTTCTAGTTCTTAAATGATTCATCTCCCCCCACTATCATGATCCCAATTATACCCTACAAATCTGGCTAGACCAGAGGATGTACACTGGTACAGATAGGAACTGGAAACACAGGGAATCCAGGGTGAATGATCCCTTCAGGACCAGTGGTGTGAGTGGCAAGACTGGGAGGGTGGAGGGAGGGTGGGTTGGAAAGGGGGAGCCAATTACAAGAATCTACATGTAACCTCCTCCCTGGGGGATGGACAACAGAAAAGTGGGTGAAGGGAGATGTCGGACAGTGCAAGATATGACAAAGTAATAATTTAGAAATGATCAAGGGTTCATGAGGGAGGAGGGAGAGGGAAGGGAGGGGAAACATTGAGGAGCTGATTCAAAGGGCGTAAGTGGAGATCAAATGTTTTGAGAATGATGAGAGCAATGAATATACAAATGTGCTTTACACAATTGATGTATGTATGGATTGTGATACGAGTTGTTTAAGCCCATAATAAAATGATTTTTAAAAATGTCTGCTAAGAGAAGAATTCTCTGTAATATTGGTTTAATGGCCATGTATTAACCTCATGCATTTAGCATCTGCGCAGATGTACATGTAACATGTTGCAGGAATGGCATGCGCCCTAGGGACCGATTGAATGGTGGTTCACTGAGCAATTCCTGTTAAGCCAATAAGGTTCAGTGTCCTCGTCAAGAACCATTGACATCAAGGGACTTGGGTTGGGAGAGGGATAGTGTAGGGCTGTGACTCCCAGGGGCCAGATGATGTACTGAATCACATTTTGAGACACTATACATATGAAAGACACCTCACTGAGTCAGCTGGACAAAGGTTGAAGGCATTTCTGTTGCCATGTCACTGCTGCCATGTCTATTTAATTGAAATTGGAGGGGGAGTGTAATTGAGAGATTCCCCCGAGGGCTCACCACCCACACAATGCATCTTCCACCAGGGCGCCTGTTAGTCACCATACTAGACTTACATGAAAAAAAGAGCCAATCTCAAATGGACAGGTTCTAGTTTGTTGACTGGGTGAAATTATTTTGCCTACTCCTTTGAATGGTCTGTACATTTAGGGATGATTCAGACTCTAGGCACTGCTCAATATGGAATTTCTTTTTAAGTTTAAGCCTAGCTTTTATTGTACTTGATATTAGCATCCCTTAACAAAGTAGGTATTTTTCAGGCCCAATTGTCTGTGTTACACAATAGTCCTGTTAGTGTGATATATGGGCTTGTCTTGTCTACATGAACAATTCATGGATTCTCATTATTATTTTCCTATTACGGGGAGCCATGTAGAGTTTTCATCAACCCGGAGAAGGACCTATTATTTTTGCTTAGTTACCACTCTACTTCCAGATATTCTGATAATTTAGCAAATAGATGAAACACACAGTTGAATCTTTTGAGATGCGATCATTAGTGATAATTAACTCCAGATTCTCTCTCCAACTTGTTATTATGTATGGCTTGCTAGTCCTTTCTATTCCCATTGAAAAACCTACTTTGGGGGACACTGTTTTACTTAGTGTTCCCAGCTTATACAGCCAGAAAGAAATATATTCCTCACAGTTATAACTATGTATAGAGTTAGACAAAGAAAGTACAGTCTATGAAGCTTGCTCTTGAATGTAGACTAGCTGAAGAGAGTGGAAGACATCATGAAGGAGCAGAGATACGCAGAACATTTCAGAAGGAGGGCTAAGACAAAGTAAAGTATTATAATAAAATATACAAAGACTGGGACCTAGACAACCAAAAGGGAGCACACACTGATCATTTCTCAAGCTTGGAGGAAAAGGTTCAAGCCATGGAATTACACCACTGAAAGACGCCAGGGGCAAAAGTCATTGCCTGCCTGTCACTTTGTCCTCTGGGGTGCCTCCACGTGGCTGGGATGCTAGAAACTATGCCACTCGTATTTCTCACACTCATAGAGTCACCCGTGTTGATTAGGTTTCAGTCAAGCTTCCATAGTGCATCATAACAAATTATGGATATTATTTGGAAGGCTGGGGTTCCAGAATACTTAACTGTGATTATGCAGGGTAATTTGAAAAGAAAAGAACAGGATACTGCAAGGTTTAAAACAGAAAATGTGTATGTGAGGATTGCATTCTTTCACTGCATTTATTCAACCTGTATGCTGACCAAGAGGTTGGACTATATCAAGAACATATCATCGGAATTTGAGGAAGATTCAACTAATAACCTGCAATATGGAGATGTTCCTACCTTGCTTTAAGAATGCAACAAGGTCTTGTAGCACTTACGATGGAGATCAAAGACTATAATGCCACATAAAGTTAATAAAAAGCCTCAGAACTGGACCCATACGTAACAGGAGCATAAAAATGGAGAAACACTGAAGTTGTTGAGAATTTCATTTTACTTGGTTCCACAACAATGCCTTTAGGAGCAGCAGTCAAAAAATGGGATGATGTATTGCATTGAACAAAACCCTCTTTAAAGTCTTAAAAAGAAAAGGTGTAACTTAAAGGAATAAGTGAGTCTGACCCAAGCCGTGATATTTTCAGTGATCTCCCAGGCATGCAAAATATGTACAATGAGTAAGAAAGACCAAAGAAGAAGCTATGCATTTGAACTATGGTGGTGCCAAAGGATAGTGACTTCTTCGGACTTCAGTAGCTTTAAGGACGAGCCCAAGACGGCAAGATGAGCACTGGCTGGTGATTGCAGAAGCAGATGAATCTCAAGTTGGCATGCCAGATGGCAAGCTTCAGATGACTCCCAGGATAAGCAGACAGTATTGCAGGACAAAGGCTCAAGTACAAAATACCAGACATCAATGAGCCTGATGTAAACCCATACCCAACAAAAAGCCAAAAGCTTTTCCACCGGATCTTTTTACATAGGAAGTAGACCACAACCCTGAAGAAATCTCCTTCTGGTTTCTTTATGTATAAGGCTCTTGATGTCATTTCACAGCTTGCCTGGTCTTTCATCTTTAGTGTTCATTGCTTCAATTATGTTTTTTAGATGGTTACTAAATTCCTACATGAAGAAAGCAAAAGGTCATTAAAAAACTAGGAATAAAAGAAAATATCAGTGAGGATGTCAGAAGAGACTCTGAAACTTGCTCTGACTCACAGGGTGGTAAGGCAAATGGAAGAAATGATTTTTTGATCCAATGTCAAAGACAAAAACTATAACAAATTTAGATGGAGCATAAGGAAGATCAAATGGTAGAGTGCTAAATTTTAACCTGTGTCTGCAACAATCCACTTTTATTAACTTGTTCCTTGGAAGTGCTTGGATATTATTCTATCACCAACCGCATTGAACTTCAGGATAGATCTTGAAGTGTTCCTTTAGATTTGTAATTTGATGCCATGCTTCTTCAAATTATCATTGCAGACATAATATTATATGATTGTTTGATTCAAAGTAGCAAATGCCAATCCATCCAGTTCATTAATGCCCATTATATCAATCTTCATGTCTTTTATTTTACTGATAACTTCTAATACTACCTAAATTCATCCCATGTTCTGATTATTAATGGAAGTTTACAGATGAAATCAGGCAATGAAATTCCTGAGAGCTTTGCTTCATCCATGTCATTGAAGTGGACTCTTGTGCAGATAACCACCCCCAGCCATATTTTGTGTGTATTCGAACCTGAAGAGCTCACCTTTCGACATTGTATCAGACAATGGTCTACTCCTAGGCATCAGGCTTGTAGTCCCTTATTCTTCACAAGTGGACTGCCTCTTCTTTCTGCCTAGACTGTTTTAGTCTGCAAGCTCTGCTGAAACCTGGCCACCATGAGTAACCCTGCTAATATTTGAAATATTGACGTGTAGGTGGCCCACGAGGTCCTGAAGGATGAGTGGGAGAAAGTGACAGTCGCTCCCTAACAGTCACGCTTCATTTATCTTCATCCAGGGAAAAGCCCATGCCCAATTTCAGTAATTTGCTTGCTGAATATTTACTTCTTTAAACATAGGTGACTGCAGCATTGAAATCAACTGAATAACTGAATATGGATGCTCTAACATTGTGTTTATGCCATTCTAATTTTATGTGCCTGAAATTTTATTTTAATTCAGTAAATATACATTCTTCCATGTTCCTTAAATCAGCCTGGGAACCATCTATAAACACAAAAACACAAATCAGGACTTGATTACTTCCTCAAGTATTTCTACCACTGCACACCGCCATTTCTCCCAATTTTCATGTGACTTCAAGCTTACTTTTTATTTGTTAAGAGATAAAAAGGGGATGTAATTTGAGCTCTTTATATTATATAATAAAAATCACTATTTTTCAAGCCATACTCAATATATTTTTCTTGCTCTTCCTTCCTAATAATAATAACAAGAAAATCATTGGAAAATTGTAAAACATTAACTGAGGGAATTCTTCCAAACATGCCTTAAGTTAGTATTTAACAACTGGCTCTGTACACAAAATTTGTTTGGGAAGTAGTTCATTAAATATGCTAGAATGTTACATGGTTTTGAAATATAAACATGTGGTAAAAACTTGTCTCCATTTATAAACTTCTATAACTTTGAAAAAGTTTATATTCTTTTAATGCATTTATAGCAACTGATCTTATCTTTTTTAAACCAACATAGAATACATTTTTATTAAAATAAATACTGTAAAAAATTCTAATATATTTGGCATACAAGTGAACTTAGTTACATTAAAAATCTTGAAACAAAAACAAATGTGCAAGAAAGTTAAAAATAAAATTTTTAGGATAATTTAACAGTTTTCACTACATTAAATTTGTGAGCATCCCTGAGATAGTCAAATGATTTCTGATATTGAGTTAATGTTTTTATTTCTACATTTAAGTTTACTTTGTATCACAGCATGTGCATATGAATATTTCCTCATTTTCTCAAGTTTTTACCTTTAAGTATTGATTTTGATTTTTTTAAGGATGTTTTGAATAATTTGGGATCTTGTGAACTGGATGAAGATGATCTCATGCTTGATCTAGAATTTTTAGAGGAACAGAATCTTCATCCTTCAGGTAAGTGTTGAAATAATACTCAATGTCATATACATATAATACCATAATTTTAACCTCCAGTAATCACCTGCATCTGTTTAATTGCATCACGTATTTTCAATCTCCAATTTATTTATTCTCTGTGCAAGGCATGTAGTAGGTACTGTGGATGGTTCAATATAAGTATCACCTGGTTCTGGTCCTCCATGATGGAACCCATATTTTAGAGGACACAGCAGGTTAAAAGATAATGATGACATAAGGAAAACTAAAGACAGACATTTCTAATTATATACTTAGCATCTTAAAAGTGAGGCACTATGATGAAAGCAATGATAGCGATCCCGTTGTACCTCTCCTTTTCATTACCAAATGAAAACTTTGCGCATTTGTGAGCTGTTGCTTCAAACCATGTCCACTTTAACAGTGATTATACAAGGTGATGCCCATGAAATGCATTTGACCTCAGCATTAATAACAACCAAAGGCAGTCACAAGCCCAAGCTAGAGTAGGAAGTACATTGCTGTTGAATTAATTAAGGAGTCTATGATATTTGTAATAGTTTAAATGTATATAAAAATAGATATTTGATAGTAAACTTGAGGTTTTACATTTGTTTTTTATTATCAATGATATCTTTGACAGAGTCATTTTAAAAATTAAAGCACAAGTAACCTGAAACTGGAGCTTTTTCTTCCTGTTACATAAATTAGGGGGGATCAACTGCTTGGGTCATTATTCTGTAATGTGTGCAAATTAGACACAATGGTGTGTAAGGTTGTCACCAGCTGCACTATATTTTGATGAATTCTTGTTCACAGGATGTAGTTTTTATCACAGATAACATATCAACCAGTGTTTAAAGAAGAACTTTAATTACTTTTTTGAATTCTACTTTAGGCTGATATAAAAAAAAAGCTCCTTAAAAAGATTTCCTTGAGGCTGATTTAGAAAAAAAAAAGTTTTTAAATGCAGTATTTTGCTCTCTTATGCAAATATATTTATTTATGCGATCATACCTTTGTATTTGTATTACATGAGTTGCACATAATGGGACTGTAAAAAGGTATAATCTCTTCAGAGTGAAATTTGTCACTCAAGCAAAACCACATATGCATTTGCATTTACTTTTAGATCTACGTCTCTAACTTCTGGAAATGCAATTTTAAAATACTGGAAAATTATGAAGTAGTACCTGCACATGATTATTCATGGCAGGATATTTGTAATAGGAAATGATGAGGAACCAGACACATTCACATCGGTAGTACACTGTCTTAATGCACATTAGAATCATGAACACTGCCATCGAGTTGATGCTGTTTGGGGGGACCCTATAAGACAGGTGAGCACGGTGCCTGCAGGTTTCCAGCACTGTACCTCTTCGAGGGAGCAGCTGTTGGATTCACACTGTGAACCTCCGGGTTCACCAGCCCAGCCTGTAACCATTATGCCACCAGGGAATAGTAAGCTGCCATAGCAAGTCATGAGACAGTGTTTGTATCTGCCAAAGCAAACTCTTCAGTATCTTACTTGATGATAGGAAACTCCATAATGAATAGATAAGACATAAGCTCACTGCTCAACCTTAATATAGCTAAAAGTACATCAACTAGTCAGTGTGTGCGTCTTGGTGTGAAGCAGAAAGCTGTACCCAGCACCACCTGTAAAGTTTTCTTCTCCCCCATCCACCAACGTCCCTGAATCTACTCAAGTCTCTAGATTGACTTGCTAGTTTACAGGAGATAGTGGAAGAGGAAAATATTCAATGACGTTATGACTTTGGCAGCAATCAAGTGTGAGGAATCAGTCTGATTTATGTCCATGAGATGTAATCTTGACTTTCTTTCCCAAAAACAGAAAAAACATGACATAATGAAAGACATTTTATAGATAAAACAGGCTTCAATTATATAACAAGAATACAGTGTGATATTACTTTTGCTATACTTATTTAGAAATATAAACTTTTATTGTAAAAAAAAACCCTTTCCTGTAAAAAGACAATTTTGAGCTTATTAATTCTTATTAGTGACATTTGAAAATAGGGTTTGGAGTACAGAAGTATTGTTCATTTTGCTAGGGGTTGCAGTGATGTTTTGGCTTGCTTTGTCTTTAAGGAAGATAGTTGATGTGTGAGAGATGCATTCGGTTGAAATAACTTGTATGGGTTTTGTTTAGCCAGCATGGAGAAAAGAGTGGCTTTTGTTGTTGTTGTTGTTAGGTACTATCAAGTCAGTGGAAAAAAGGAATAGGTGAAACGAATTCACAAATTGTTAAAAATGATCACAGCTGGGTGATAGTTGCATGGGGTGAAAAATTCTGAACTAATTATAATAGTTTGTTTTGTATTTTTTAAGGAAAGATTTTCATAATAAAAAAGCCCAAGTAAAATAACAATAGATAATATAATAATCTGTCATATTTACTAGGCAAACATAATAAAGAACAAAACAAAAACAAAAACAACCCAAAATCAAACACACTGCCACCAGGTCAATTGTGACTCATGACACAAAGAACATCTCAAAGCTCTGAAGACTGCTCAGTCTCCTTGCTTGAGCACACTGGAGCTTAAGAACACAAAAGCGAAAAACCGGCTCACTGCCACAGAGCTGATTCTGACGCACAGCGACCCCATAAGATAGAGCAGAATTGCCACTGTGGGCCTCCCAGTCTGTAACACTCCACTGGAGTCGAGCGCCTCACCTTTCTCACACTGCTGACCTGGTGGCTGACAGCCAACTCGTAACCCACCTGGGATCCTGGTGAAAGCACTTGGCATTTTTAACACTTAATTTCTTCTTTATAAAGTCACACACGAATATATGCACCTCAGTAATTTTTTGGAAACATGATTAATGCTATAAAATTACTGAGCCTGTTTTAAGGTGTAAATAATCATCAACTCTATTGTACGTAAGATGGTGCATACCTAAATATTTGAAAGAAAG